TTTTGCGAAGAATACGCTGCTATCAGTGACCTCCGGGTCATCTCTCCCCTCTCTTCCTTACGGTTTGCATAAACGAGCTGTTTTCGGCTCTGGGAAAGAAAAGCCATCCAGCGATTATGTGGATCTAATTAAGTCAGTTGGGATACTGGCAGAGAGCGGCACTGGCTGGAGGCGGAGTTTGTTCCGAAGGACTATGGAAGGATCGCACACGGCCCTTTTCAGCTGCTCGAGCTCGGCCGGCGCCTGGCTGCAAACGGAAGCCTGAACTGGGCTGGGGAGCTATGCCCGCAGACTTCTCATTTTATTCACAAAACTGGCCAGCCTCGGGGAAAGCTTTGAGGCTAGGGCTAGCCCCCTCCTTCCCACTCCAGACCGAGCTACGGCTCCAAAATGAGACAGCTGTCTAGCCTTAGCCCGTACATTTCCTTTCTCCACCCGGATCTTCGGCTGCTCAGGAGCGATCAGCTCCCTTAGCCGGGAGACTCCAGATCCTGTGACCTGCGGGGGCAGACCTCAGATGTGTTCGCGTTGGCATGCACAGAAATGACTGGGGCCCCAGTGTGTGCACCTTCAACTCTGCAGCCCACCTGCCCTCTTCCAGGCGCTGGCACAAGGGCAGGTGCCTCCGCCGTAGCGTCTACACGTCTGCCAGGCAAAGTTCGAAAGTACGAATTTCCATCTTCTTTTTCCACTACTCCTGGCCATTTCCATTCCCAGCCCCATCCCCTCCACCCCAAACCGTGAACTATGTGGTAGGGGGCTCGCTTAAGCACCCTGCACTCGAGTACTGCCGCGGTGGCGGCCAAAGTGAGCTGCGGAGCCTGTCGGCTGCTGTTTGTGGGAAGAGGGTTGCGACCTCAGGAGAGAGTGAAAACAGCGCCGCTTGAAAAGCACCAGTTCCGAAGATCCACAGAGTTCATGGAGTGGTAGAGAAGGCTCCATGCTCTTGAGAGCAGAGGTGGACAGGGTCAGTGGGGGCCGCTTCCGGGTGTGTGGGGGCGAGAACCTCAGGTCTAAGTGCGCTCTTCTGGGCCGAGCCTCTTTTTCTCTATCCTCACGTGTCTGCCCTCTGGACAACAGTGGCTCCGTATGGTGGGCTGCGACCCTGACTGACGGGCCTATCTTGCGTCCTGTGTCCTGCATCCTCCAGACCTCACACGCGGTTTTCCCCTCCAGACCTGACGCTTGGTGTCCAACAGTGGACCCAGCAGGACTGCCTGGAAGGCTCATCATCCAGGCAAAGCCTGAAGCCATGCTACCTGGTCGGGGACTGCAAACCTGCTTGGAGTCAGCAGTGAGACCCTAGCGGGGAAGGAGAATGTGTGAGGGTGCGCCTGGGTTGAGGGTCTGTGACTGTAGCATGGAAAAGGAGGACTTCATGCAGGGATGGCCCTGTGGGATAGCCAAGAATACTTCAGCGGCAGCTTCCTTCCTACCAATTACACGCGGCCTTCTGACACAGTGGCACTTCAGCAACTGGACGCCCTTCCCAGGCCCTGAATTGGGGCAGGGCAGGAGGGAGGGTGCAGAACCATAGGGACCTATTTCCCAGGCAGTGTAACTGGCAAGGCCGTAAGTCTTCTCGTGGGCGCAGAAATATTGCCAGGTCCCTGTGTCCTCTGGGCAGATGCAGAGCCGTGTAAGCCTCACAGAAGCGGAGCCAGGGGAACAGCGGGAGCTCTGGCTTGGCGGTACGGACGCTAGTGATGGATTCCTGGGGAACAGCGACCTCTGGAGGAACCTCTCATCCACGCAAAGAGTCAGGAGCTAGACAGAGGACAAGGTCTGAGACCCAGCACACTTTCCTCACCCTACTCCCGTTCCACCCGCTTGGAAAAGTTATCCAAAGACTTAAAACCTCCGGACTCCACTCTTTGCTTATGTTTGCCTTTTTTTTTTTTTCCAACCTGTACCCCCGTTTCAAATCCCTGCTCCAGAAAGAAGCCTTCTGGAGAGCTCAGTTCATCTTCCCCCTTCCTGCTCTGAGCTCATTCTCAGGCCATACTGCACAGCCGACCTGCTTCCTGCTGGATCTTCTCCAAAAAGACCGTGAATCCACTCCACCCGTGCTTTGAGTTGCATGGTGGGCATCCCATTCCCGCCCAACCACCTCACCCAACCCCCCAGTAAATAAAGACTGAAGTTATTCATTCCAAAATTGGACTGTAGATTTTTTCAAAGCTAATTTTGCCGATGGGGAAATTGAGACCCAGAGAGAGGGATGACTTGCTCACAACCACACAGCAAACTGGTAGCAGAGGTAGCACTAGAACCCTAGTATCCCATTTCCCAGGCCAGGGTCCTCTTCATCTCACCCGGATGGGGAACAGGTAATCTGGCAGAAAACTCACTTTGATAGGTGAGAAGTGAAGGGGGGGGGAGGATTGGCATAGGAACAGGGAAATTGGCATAGGAACCTCAGAGGAAACTGAGAGGGTGTCACTGCTCCAGGATGGGGCAGTGAGGAAGGCAGGGAGAGGGCAGTGCCATGCTGGGAGGTCAGACCCTTCTTTCCCCCATCCTCAGCCTAGATTAAGATACTTGGAAGGGCTCCATATTTCAGGGCTTGGCTTCATTTCTTACATCAGCAGGTGGGAAGGGCTAAGGTCTGGGAACAGATTCAACTCTGGCAAATACCACCCTCCCCCATCCACCACCACCACCCAAGAGAAGGAGCAGCTGAGAAACTTCTCCTGCTAATACACTCAGAGGGCACTGCTGAGACCCCAGATCAACAGGAGGCCTTCTGGTACTTGTGATTACAGAGTTAATGGAGAAGGTGGAAGTGTGATTTGCACAAGGCTCCAGTGATACCTGCTACCTGCTCAACAACCTGAGGCTTTTCCAGGGTTGCATCACTTTCTGGATATAGGGTGCTTGTCTGCACAGGATACCTGGCAGCCTGGCCTCTACCTGCTTGTTCAGACTTACCTCCAACTCCTGCACTCTACTCATACCTGAGTTGCTCTTCCCTCTTCACCTTTGCAGATGGCTCACTTCTCCTAGTCCTTCTTAGTTCATTTCACACATCAAGTTTGTGAGATGCTTTCCCTGACAACACTTCTGCGCTCACCTGACTCCCACCCATGTTCCCAAAGCTCTTAGCTCTGTCTGTTTTCATTATTTGTTTTTCAGTCTGTAGATTTTATTATAGACTGGGGTCCCCAACCTTTTTTGGCACCAGGGACCAGTGTCATGGAAAACAGTTTTTCCACGGACCAAGGTGGTAGTGGGCAGGTTTTGGGATGAAACCATTCCACCTCATATCATGCCATCAGGCATTAGTTAGATTCTCCTAAGGAGCATGCAACAGGCTGGGCGCAGTGGCTCACACTGATCTCAACACTTTGTGAGGCCGAGGTGGGTGGATCATGTGAGGTCAGGAATTTGAGATCAACCTGGCCAAACCCCGTGAAACCCTGCCTCTACTAAAAATACAAAAAAAATTAGCCAGGCATGGTAGCAGGTGTCTGTAGTCCCAGCTACTTGGGAGGCTGAGGCAGGAGAATTCTTTGAACCCAGGAGGTGGAGGTTGCAGTGAGCTAAGATCGCACTATTGCACTCCAGCCTGGGGAACAGAGCAAGAGTCCAGTCTCAAAAATAAAAAATAAGGAACACGCACCCTAGATCCTTCACATGCGCAGTTCATGATAGAGTTCATGCTCCTATGAGAATCTAATGCCACCACTGATCTGACAGGAGACAGAGCTTAGGTGGTAATACTCGCTCACCCGCAGCTGACCTTCTGCTGTGTGGCTGGGTTCCTAACAGATCACCAGCTAGGTACCAGTTAGTGGCCCAGAGGTTGGGGATCCCTGCTTTAGACAGAGCTGCTTGAGAACAGGGCTCATAGTGTGTTCATCTTTATCTTTCCCTCTGCAAAATGGGGATAGTAATTGTACCTACCTCATTGGATTGCTGTAAGGATTAAATGAGATGATGCACATAAAGCACTTAGCCTACTGCCTGAAACTGAAAGAGCTCAAAAATGTTTTGCATCGTCATTATTAATCACTCTACCTCCTGCCTGGCACAAAGCGTGACACACAGTAGGTGCTCAATTAATGTTAGATATGTGGATATATTAATGAAAGAAGAAAGAAAGGTATGACATATCTCTCTCTGTCTGGGACCCCCTATAGAATTCTAGGGAGTTCATCAGTAGATCATCAATAGAACTTTCTTCGTTGAGAACAAAGGTTGTATCTCAGATCGTCAACAGAACTATGTGTTCGCTGAGAATAGAGGTTGCTTCTCCCCAATCAGTCTCCATCCTTGAGGGGAGGAGAATATGTCTCCTTCAGACAGAGTTCCTCCTCTTCATCTTCTGCCTAGGTCAGCCCCAAATGGTGACAACTGCTACATGAGCTGACATCACAGATCTGGGCAACCCCAGAGGTTCCCAGTCTGCCAAGGGCCTCATTTCCAGCCGTGAAGTTTGACTCCCCATTAGTTACAAGAACACCTCTCACAGGGGCTCTGTGTGATCTTCCCTCGTCCACGCCCTCCTTCAAAGCTGGGGCCACTCATTTCTGGGGGACTAGAGACAATGAAATAGGACATCTTAAACAGTAGGGGAACAGATTTTATAGAATGATCCTATGGTCAGAAGAAGGGAGTCACAACTGGGGGACCAGCTGGGGAGACAGCAGCATTTGGCAGGAAGCCTGGAGGCCTGAATGGTAGAGGTCCAAAAAGCTGGTTCCCTACACCTGCCATGGATGCCCAGGATTTGGGGGCTAAAAAGGAAAAGGAGCCACCACCCTGGATGGATTGATAGCCAGAGCAGAGCATACCCCAGAGTGGGCGTGGCAAGTACCCATGCTTCCCAAATCCAGAGGCCAGGATACCTTGTGAAGGGGCTCTGGTGGCAGACTGATGGGAAGGCCCTGGAGAAGAAGGAAGTGGGGTTTGAGAAGGTGAAAATCTGACTATGATCACCAAAGGTCCCTTTGAGAAATAAAAGGGGACTGCTGTTGAAAGGAGCTAGTGTGACCACACAGGGGCTTGGTGCCATGGCAAGGGCTGCATAGAAACCCACTTCCATGGATTTCTCCTGTTGCTGTACCTTCACACATATGGTATGAAGTGTACAAAGTCATATTGCAGTGCTGTTTGGAATGCCAAAAGGTTGGAAACAACATAAATGTCTATCAGTAGGGGACTGGGTAAGCAAATAATGAAACATCTAAAAAAAGGACTAGTGTACGGTACAAGTAGAATATAGAAGTCTTTATGTACTCATCTGGAAAAGGCTCCAAGATACATTGTTTGTTTGTTTGTTTGTTTGTTGTTTTTGTTTTGTTTTTGAGACTGAGTCTTGCTCTGTCACCCAGGCTGGAGTGCAGTGATATGATCTCGGCCCACTGCAACCTCTACCTCCCAGGTTCAAGCTATTCTGCTGCCTCAGCCTCCCAAGTAACTGGGATTACAGGCATGTTGCCCTGGCTAATTTTGTATTTTTTATAGAGTCAGGGTTTCACCTTGTTGGCCAGTCTGGTCTCAAACTCCTGACCTCAAGTGATCTACCCACCTTGGCCTCCCAAAGTGCTGGGATTACACACATGAGCCACCACACCCAGCCACGATACATTGTTGAGTGAAAAAAAAAAAAATAAAGATGTATACAACAGTGTAAACATGCATCTAGTTGTGTTTTTCAAAGATAATGTATATTTGTATTGGTTTATGTGTGCAACAAAAATATCTAGAAGGATGAACAAAAATCTAGTAACTGATTATCCACTAGGACAAATTGAAAACAAAAATGGGAGACTTCGTGGATAATTGTTTTTATAATTGCAAAGCCAAGTGAAGTGAATGTATTACTTATTCAACAATTAAATAAAAACTTTAAAAGAAACAGTTGGATTATTTCAATAAATAAGGTTGAGTATGCAGGACATAAGAATAATAAAAACCGTTTTATAGGCTCCAACTTGAGAATATGGTTGGTGGCTATGAATGTTGAAAGCAAGGGATGTGAATTCAGACATGTGAGGTGCCTGTGAGTGTCACCTGCCTGCCCATCAGACAGGGAAGCAGTTGAGTCTTCTAGCTAGGACCCCAGATTTTCCACCTTTCCCCCTGTTCTGTTCCCATCCCTGTGTCTTTGACTCCCTCTCTCTGTCGGTCCCATCTAAATCACTTTGAAAGTAGTCAGTATTTTCAGTCTGCTGGCTGGACAGAGATTAGGATGGATAGAGGAAGAAGGAGTTTCATAGGAGCAGGAGCGGCAGACCCTCCCCTCCCTCCTTTCAGAACTCCAACCTATCACCTCCAGGAAGCCTTCCCTTGTGAAGCCCACAAAACCGCAGCCCCTTCATAACTCAGGGAGACAGACTGATGCCCAGGGTGGGGCCTATGTCTCCATCAAGCAGGGTCCAGGCCTCTTGTCTCTAAGCCTCATCAACCCCCTCAGCCCCAAGTCCAGCCTCCAGATAAGGACAGTTCAAACCAAACCTGCAGTATGCCCAGTGCTGGCCAGGCTGCCCAGTTAGGGACATAGTGGAGCAGGGAAGACACGGTCAGACAGGGTAGAAAATCCTCACCCATCATCACAGTGCTTTAGCAGTCACAAAGGCTGTCCCTACCCAGGCAGAGAGGATGGGGCACATTCTCTATTTCCAGAGGTGACTGGGGCTGAAGTCAAGGTAGAGGCTGGAACTGGTAAGTGACTAAAGGGACCTAGCAGCCCCTCATCTCAAAAAGCACTCTATATACTATATTGTCATCTGCCATCATTTGAGCTCTCTGAGCAGGGACAGTGTCTGATCCATCCCTGAGTACTCAGCTGGGAAAGAGAACAGGGCCTGGCACAATCAAGGCACTTGGGAAGAGGCAGTAATTGCTATGAAGGGCAGAGAAAGGAAAGGACTTGCCTAAATGTTTGACCTGGGATTAGACCCCAGGTTTTCTGCCCCCAGCCCAGTCCCCTTTCTTCTGTCTCCCTCTTACAGAGTAAATAAATTGGCTGCACCTACGGCCACCAACCTCACACCCATTCCAATTTCACTTCCAGTGGAGCAACTACCAAATCCTGCCAAGGGGAAGCAGGGAGGATGGAAGATCTGGGAGAGCTTTCTAGAGAAGGTGGGAACTGCAGCTAGTTTTCTTCTTCTACACCAAACAATTGGGTTCCCTGCTTCCCTTTCAGCC